GGGGGCGTTAATCCCCCTTAAGCTGCATACAACCCGCCAATAAACTACAGAAGAGCAAGAGGAAGGAGGAAGAGAAGAAGAAGACATTTATTTTTCTTTCAAAAAGCAGATTTTTTTCTAGCTTTATTGAGAATATACATAACAAATAGGGCAATATAACAATTTTTCAAATATGGTGAATGTAATAGGGTTTCAGAGGAAACAGTAACAAGCAATAAAATGTGAAAATTTCGTGATTTAACCAATCAATATAACTCATGGGATGAGTCAAACATGTTAACAATACGAGGAAAACATAGATAAATAGGTAAAGAAATTAAATAAAAGAAGACAATTATATCATGGATAAATTAATATATAGCTTTTAGAATTTTGTTTTTATCTATGGGTAGACATTGCAACATAGTTAACCATTTTTGTCTTTTTTTTGTCATTATCATAACAAACGTTATGTCATCTCTGGAAAGAAGGGCTGGCAATGCTTGAAGCTATTTATTTATCCATGTAAGAATATGAAGCCAGAATGTGTACATATTATTAAAAAAAAGAGCAAATACGTGTGTCTCTCTGCTGCCCCCAGTATCGACCTGAGGTCTGTTGCAGACTGGAATGTTTTGGTAGCCAATTGGATGCTGGTGCGACTGAGATCGCGGTGCATCTCAACTGTCACTGCTGCCTGTCCGCTTTTATACACGCTGAGGCTGGTTAGTACTGTAGCACTAGGGGATGGCGTATAGGAAGTAATGGATCCCATTGAAGAAAAACCGAGCAAAACTGTCGACATTTATCGCGACACATGGGTCCGCTTGCTAGGTATGTAGAGTCCCTTCTGCTTTTTAACAGGCTGTTACAGACCTGTAGTAGAACAGACACAACCCCGAAGCTGGGTGCTAGCTAGCTACAAGTTAGCATAGCGAGCTAACCACTAATTTTAAGGGCTAATTATAGCAAACTTGGGTGGTGAAGGACATTGTGTTATTGCAGGACGTAATGGACGTCAAGGCTGAACAATACTGTTGTTTATGCCGTTCCTTTAATGTATTTCCTGTTAGTAAGAAGAGTTGTCTCTAGTCCCACCTCAGTAAAAATACTCGTTGTTTAGCAAGTTGAGGCAGTGGCTCACATGACTGTAAACGCCCGCAGGCACGACCAGACTGAAAACTTAAACGCTGTATGGCAGGTGTAACTTAGTACCTGTTTTCGTTGCTGCCCTTCTCTGATTGAAAGGGCTCTGGTTACACTGGTTACCCAGTGAGCTATTAGGCGAGAAGGATACTACTAACTGTGAGGATACTGCAGCAGTTCCCACTGTGCTGCCTCTTCCCCGTGTTTACATGCCTTAACCGTTTCATGACACGTCAATGTGTTAATCCCCCTCCATAAATCAAAATCCTTTAAGCCTGACCATACAGTTAAATATCATTATCTCCACGTTGACACATGTGTATAAAGAAAAACACCTAAAGCTGGTCATACATCTGTTCTTAGTATTTGTGTAATTTTAGTACATGGAGCTGGTGTCTTATAACTGGAGCTTGCATAAAAGGTGCGCATATTAACTAAATGCCCTGCAGGAAGATAATCTAATCTAGACACCCATTGTCATAATACTCAAGTGTACCAGTAGAGCGCTTATCATTTTGTGCTCAGCTGCTCACTGTTATTAAACCCAGCTTTTGAGTAAATATCATCATTTAGGAAATTTTAACATAACACATTTTTCAGATTTTTTTTCGTTATGTTAAAAAGTTCAGCATGTCTAGTTTTTTTTTGTAGAGTTTTTTTTTTTAACTATACCACTTGACTCAAACTGTGAACTGTGAAGCAAGAACATCTTGCTTACAGTACCGTCCTCTGAGATGCATGTTTTCTTCACTCGGATGTTGGGTGTGATGTAAACAACAACAACATGTTACACAAACCGATCTTTGAAATTATAACTGCTTACTGCATTTGTGAATTTAGTTTTTAATCTGCAGAATTCGCTTCTCTCTTCCTCTGAAACCGAAAGTGACTTGAATACAGTATGTCCCCGTGGTTATAGGTAGTGATGAGTTCGGACTTTATAATTGATATTGGGTATTGCTAAGCCCTAGACATGGCTGACAACACAGTTTGATGAGTAGTGTATTTGCTGCTGCTTAACACAACTAAAAGATAAAGCTGATTTTACATTTACTGTTGTTGCAGAAGTATGAGTCACTTCTGCTTCTCTCACTAAAGGCTGATTTTCAGTGGAATTATTAATCAGACAAGAGATACTGTAACTGTTGAGCATTTACTATAAGGTGTCAAAATATGGGGTAATCCCAACTTCATTTACTTCACTATTTGTATGAAAATTCCTGTTTTGTGTTGAGCCCTTTCACTATTCTATGAAAACAGTGCATTGCATCACAAAAGTAATGCAGGAAACTTTTTTTGGACACTGTTCTAATCATGAATATGCATCTTGTAGGGACGCACTGATCCGGCTCCTTTTCTCCTAATCCAGATTTGTTAACTCAGGATATCCGCAGAGACCAGGCACTCTTCCTTCCCCACACATAAAATGTTTATACCACATTGAGTGGAACTCATTGGGATCATTATTATAATCTTTGTTTTTTTTTAAGTATGTAATGATACTGCCGCAGGAGATTTAATCATACAGCGTTTTTATTATCCACTTGATAGTTGTGAGTATTAAGTAATTTTCAATAGCCAAAGAGCTTTACTGTGGAGATAAATTGTCAACAAATTGTATTTGTTTGGGTGCGATATTTTTGTTTGTAACATAGGTGCTGTCTTCAACACAGGTAGCACAGCAAAGTGCAGTGTTTGCACAATGGCCTCAGTTTTTCCAGCAGTATCAGATACAGTATCAGTGACGGAGACAGCAGCAGAATTTGACTCCACCACGCTCTGATGGTTTTGTCATCACAGAACCAAAGCTGCTGCTCCCTGTGTGACTGGAGTTAATTTTACCACTGATTTACATGGACTGTGGTGCATGGCCCAGAAGATTTCATAATGAGTGATCAAGGATACTTCTGTCATTCCACTCACTTGGAATAGATGTTGCATAATTTTCCAAATGCTGTTCTCACTAGATTAAGTTGAAGTTTATTAGCCTCTTGTATGTTGCAGTAAGATACATATACTGTACAATATGTCCTGGGAAATGGAGAATGCAGTGCTAAAAATACACACAGTTTCACACCACGGTTTCTAGGTTATTATACATTTGGAGGTTAAACGCTTAACTGCATTTGTACATGTACTATATGCCCACAGGCTATGCTAATGAGGTCGGGGAGTCTTTTCGTGCTCTGGTGCCAGTGAGTCTGGTATGGGGCAGCTATGCTGTGGCCACTGCGTACGTTACAGCTGATGCTGTTGACAAAGGGAAGAAAGCAGCTGTGGTAAGATATTGCTTTTTGTATTTGTTCTCTTTAGGGCTGCACAATTTGGGACAATAATCTAATTGTGACTTTATTTATTTATTTTTTTCCAATATTGTGATTTATCCTGCCCCCCCCCCCCCTTCTTTTTTTACTTGTGACGTTAACTGCCTGATACATGCCCTGGTGATGCTGAGTGTGTGGTACTTTGCTTTGTATTAAAATGTTTCACTTTCCTCTTTATAACTAGGGATTTGCCTGTAGACTAGAGCATGTGAGAATTCAAACTGGACAATACAGCAGTAAATACAGGACAGGCAAATTTTCTTTTCTTCCTTCCTTCATAAAATTCTCCAGGTCTGAGCTCATCGCAGACTTTGAGTAGTGTATGAGAATGTCTGATGGATCCAGAGCAGAAAACCGAGCTATACATCACTACCCTGCTAAATAAACTCAGTTTCACTGTGTTAAATTGCAATTTCATTTTGAAAACAATTAATTGTTCAGCCCATTGATATTCATATTGTCCACATTTCCATTACGATGGAATGAAAGAGGGATATAACTCAATATTAGCTCAACTTTTACCCTGATCAAAGAAACTAAAACAAAGAAAGTAGAAATTTAAGCCCATTGTTATCATATCAAGTAATGCGCATCCTCAGTGTTTGATTTAACAGGAATTAGTGGGATTATTCTTCAAACAATCTGCTTCACTCTGATTATTTCTAAAGACTTGATAGAAATGGCCACTACTACCTTAATTTCTGATCCTCCATCTGTTCCTCAAGGCCCATGGGGACAATCCGGGGAAGACGACACAGGTGGCAGTGGCAGTGGTGGACACGTTTGTGTGGCAGGCCCTCGCCTCTGTGATCATCCCAGGTTTCACTATTAACCGCGTGTGTGCCGCTTCACTCTTCCTGCTGGGCAGAACCACCAAGTGGCCCCTGCCTGTCCGCAAGTGGGCCACCACAGCTATCGGCCTCTCCACAATCCCCTTCATCATTACTCCTATAGACAGGTCAGTACAAGTGTATTTGTTTTTGTGTTTCTCTGTCTTATCCATCATTAACTCAACATCTACTCTTTACATGCTGTAGGTCAGTGGATTTCCTGCTGGATTCGAGCCTTAGGAAGGTCTACAGTGAGGGAGAAAAGCACAAATAAGGTCATCAAGGACAGACTGTGAGGTCAGGTCCTCCTAGGCAGAGACCAGTGCCATCTACGCAGACCTGTGCTGGTTATCCACCACTGTGAAGCAGTAAAGATGTGTGAAGAAGGATGTCATGAAGCAAGATTTCAGTTAAAAATACACATAAAATAGATTTTATTTCTGAATGATAATATATCAGTTGTTGTGAAAGATCCCCCTGGGGGATCCTTAACTTTAACTTCTCAGGGCCATCTGGGTAGCAGCACCAAAAATATGTTTAACGTAACAGAATGAAATATGTATAAATACTTGACACAGTGAAATCCTGCTATTTGCAGTATTTTTCAGCAGGGGTACAGTGTGCTGTTACTGTATATTCCAGTGATCATGCCTTCATGGGCTAGGATTTTGGGTCATTTCTCAGGCCTGCACATTATGTCAAAATGTCAAGAGATGAAATGTACATCAGCCGTTTTCAGTGGTACAGTATTGACAGGCCAAAAGCCAGTTTGCCATGATGTCCTTTACTTACATTACTTACTTAAAGCTAGTCTTAGACTGTTTTTTTAACAACAGTTATAGTCGGTATGCAGTCATTTGTTCTCTTAAAGAACATGTAGTAATACCAAGTAGTGCACCAGTACCTAAGAGTTTCTCAATACATTTGTAGTCAGACAGTCCTAACATAAAATACTGTAACTTTAGCCGGACATCTTTACTTTAGTGTGTTCCACATCAGAAGTAAAGCCATTTGGACTCCATAATTGGCTTCCGACTGCTCTGAGACAGTATGGCATGGAGTGTATAAATTGATCCATCAGACTCCTCAAAACACACTTTGCATTGAACGTTTTATCTCATACAAGCACTTGTCAACTACCTGAGAAGGCCAGTGTAGTACTGTAGCTATTAAGAGATTTGTTTCAAAACACAGATATTATATGTTTATTATTGCCAAGGCTTTTCTTTGAGGAGACAAGTAAAATGCAGTATCTCATGTTGAACTATGCAAGAGAATCGAGACACTGTGTACATATTTGAGTTGTGGGAATTACAGGGACTGTTCTCCCACGATTTGATTTGAGTTGTCCTGTAAAGACACAGAGGAACAAACCATATTAGAAAAGGTTATCTTGGCCACCAGTGTATCATCTTAGCAATAACTTCTGTCTAATATGTTTCTGTTACACCACATTGTCTTTGCTATAAAGGATGCAGCGATATATGCTGGAAGAATTAACCGTTAAAACTTGGGGTGGACCAATTATGTTTTACGTGCTGGCACTGACGCCATCTGTTTAATGCTATTTAATAGCTAGTCCGGGTGATAAAGCCACTTTAACAGCACTTCTTTTAGATGGTTGAAACACTTGTGCTCAAGGCTTCAGTGTGTGCTGTACTGGACGTTTTCATCCATTTAAGTGCAGGCTTTTGCCTTGTAGAAGTGTAAGCATATAGACCTTTTATAGTCTGACAGTTTGATAGCAGGAAGAGCACAGGTGTAAGTTCTAAATGTTCCAGTATCAACACTGATTCTTTCTGCTATGACATGTCAACACATCAGCATTTTAACATTTAAAAATTTACATAGAAATTGTATTTTTTATTGTTGCATGCTGCAAAAGGGAATTGTTTCCTTTTTTTTTTTAATGTTTTTGTTCATTTTATTATCTGGCAGTGGTGTTGTGGGAAGTGGGTTTTGTCACATTTTCAGCCTTAATTGAAAACAGAAATACCAAACCTCAAACTCTGTTATGTCTTTGTAGTTTTTTTTTATTTTTTTTTTATGTGAAATCAACTGTTGAAAGCTGCAAGGGCGTAGGTTTGATCTCAACATTGGTAGGCACAAGACATCAAACCCGAATTAAAGCCTCACCTGAAGCACTGAAGATGCACCTGTTCCCTCATCAGCCTGCTCTGCTTTTCTTACCTGATGCTGCTTCCAACTTACAAAATTCATTTGCATGGGGTTTCTAGTCTAACACTGAAGTTATTGAAAAGCTGATTTTTCCCAATAAGAATCCCCCCAAATTGTATAAAGCATATTGTTTTGCCAACCAAGTGTTGTAGTACAATCAGCTGACGGTCATTGATGTGTGAAGTCATTTTGGTAGCACTACACTGGATGAGAGTAAAAGTTACTAAATATTTTGAGTGTTGCACTTTATAGATGGTCCCAGCGCACTCGTCTGGCAGCCGGATGCACATTGAGACCAATGTTATTTATCTGGAGCAGCTCATTTTGATAAAAATGAGCTTGCAGCTTGTTGTCAACATTACTATGAAACAAAAGAGGCATCGTTTGTATTTAGCAATGCTTCGCTATTGATCTGGAAACTTCAAATCTGTGAATATCTTTCCTACTTTGCTGAAGTCAGCCACTATAATATACTGTTGTCAGCCTGCTGACCGACAACTATCGTCTCCATGTCGGGAAGCAAATATGACATTTGCACGTAACTTGAGCTTTAGATCGCCCCCTCCCTTTCACTCAGTCAGACGCATCAGAATGATCTAATGTGACTTCACTCCAAAGATAATGCACCTGAGTCTGCTCAAATATTAGTAGAGACATTTATGTCTTCCCAAAATACTGCTAGGCCATGTCCCTAGCACCCATATACAAAACTACACCCTTGGGAAGCTGTAGCTCAGTTCATTGTATTGGACACAGAACTGTCAGCAATTTTGTTCTGTAACATCTTGGAGGACACTGGGAAAATTCTACTGAAATAAATTTCTTAATGATGGAAATGTCTGCCTTTGGTCTGTTTGGCTAATGAATGGTGATACAGTTCCATGTCAAGGAAAATTTATTGTCCCTGTTATATTTATTCGCTCTGTTTCAGTACAAATACCAAAGACAAAACCACTTTGTAGTTTTGGAAAATATTGATGCATCAAAAGCTTTCTGCAGTGTGATTTTAAAACTGCAGTGCAACTTGTTCTTTATGCAGGCCCAGTTTCCATTTCCTGAGTAACCTGCCATCACTTTCAGATGACGGTGGTGTAATTCAAAGAATGGTTTAACCAATGAAGCAGAGGCACTCAAAAACACATGAGACCAAACAATTTGATTGAGTCAGGAGGCCACAGCTGATGCCAATTCTACAGATGAAATGTTCATATAAAAGGCTGAGAACAGCCAAGCTGGTTGGTGCAGCCATGTTTGTTCTGGGTTTGGTGTTTTTGGCTCTTTTAGCCACATCAAGCTGTCAGTCAGGTGAGGAGGCACTTATCTTTCCTAAGCTGAAGGTTTGAACAATTTAGTTAATTTTTATTTGTGAAGGCTTTTGCTGGAAATACCACACCTGTCCTCCTGCCACACTCTGTCTGTGCCATATCCTGATATCCTTGACAATTAACATTTGCAGGAATTCCTCGATACATCCAGGACCCGTGGATTTTCCCTGATGAGAATCTACCATATGATGATCCTGATAGGCAATTTCTAGCACTGGAGGAGAGTGTGTGGTTTAATGGCTCACCAGAAGGGGTTGAATTGGTTCCAGTGACAAACCCAAACCTCTTGACTACTCCAGAGCCATATGTTAAGGAACAAGGTAGGCTGTTAATGGCATATTCTCCAGAGCATCACGCCTGCAACATCTAGTAGTATTTGCTGTAGTCTGTTTTGAAATGTTAATTCCAGCCTAAATTGACTGACTGCTTTGTTTTTGACTGTTATCTTCAGATGTAGAAATAGAAGAATCATCCGGGTGGAAAATTGCCCTGGTGGCAGCTGTCCTGCTGGTGTCTTTAGTGGGATCTCTGAGCATGGTCTATTACCTGTGTGTCTGGAGAGGAGGCAGAATTCACTACCAGCCTCAGAAGGAGGTTTATGCTTAAATAAACTTTTCTGTGGAAGCGAAACTTCTCAAGTTTGAATGGGTGGAATTTATCTAAGGCTGCCTTGATTCAAGTCTTGCACATGGGTGAGCAATTTAAAAAAAAAAAAAAAAACCTTACTAAGGTGTGAGCCACCGGAACAGCTTCACTGTCTTGACATTGATTATACAGGTCTCTGAAACACTGGATGAACACTTTCTTTGACAGGGGGGGGTCAGAATGGCTTGAATAGTTCTTGTCCTTAGACAAGTGGCAGTGATTTGCAGTAGTTCGTATGTGCAAACAGGCAGCTCTAAATGCTATTAGCACAATTTAAAAAGTCTTTATCCTTGATTCAGTTAATTGTGATCACCACTAGAGGTCAACACTAACATTTGTGCTGTGCTTCACCTGTCCAGCTATGTACTCACTGGCAAAAACCTTACATTGCATCATATAAAGTTCTTTATATGACACTAGTGGCTCACCAATATGACAAGGCTTCAAGGGCTTTGCATTTGAGAACATAGCTTTGAATGCAGAAAGTTGACTGACTAGTGGGTCATTAATATTGATTTGTGTAGATATTTAGAAACTATTCAAAGATTATCTTCTGTGCTCTATAAATGAAGTTGATCCCTATAGTGATTTGGCTTTCATTAGAATTTTTGTCCATAAAATGTTTATGGGACCTGTACATTCCTCTGTCAACACATTCTCCCATATAGCTCCTCACTTCTCAAGCTCCAGTTTACTTCTTCACTGCCATTGGTAAATGTTTTTTTTCTTCATAAGCTTTAATCTTGATCAGAATCGGCAGGCTGGCCCTTGGCAAAACCAGTGTACTGCTATGAGTGAAAAGTAATGTTTTAACTCGATGTCAAACAGGCTCAGACCAAATCCACAAATGTTTTTAAGTCCCCCTTGAGCAATATCAGGTGGCATTAGGGGGCCCAAGGAGACTAAAAAAACTGATGAATTGAATTAATCTCCCCTACTGTGATGGATAGGCCTGTTCACAGGGGGTTGGAAAATGGGAGCATTGTTCATCTGTCACTCCAATTGCTGTGTCCCTCTATGATTTGTGCCTGGGTTGTGAAGGCCACAAGTGTCCAAAAGACCTCCCTCTCTTCTTCTCACTTGTCTTGCTTTTTTTCCAGGAATTCCCAGCCTTTCACTTGCTCCCACCCCCACAGCCCACACTGATATCCACATAGCCAGATGTATAAAAACAAGCCTTTGGTCAGGACAAGGCAACATAACTATCACTCTTGTTTTATATGCACTCTGTGGGGCTGCATTGTAGCTTTCAATGTTTGCACATGATATATACTTTAGATGTAAAATCCTGTCATTGACAATCAGAAATCAGTCATAACGACCCGAACATTTTTGTGACTGCATGCAGGCTTGCAACCTTACTATTGTGCACACACTAAAGTAAATGGTGACTATATGATGAAACAATGTGACTTTAAAATTTAAGAACTGGTAATTCCATTATATAATAAAACTGAATTGTTATTCACATAAGGTAACACAAAGCTGAACTATTAAAAATAAATATAAAGGGTAAAAAAAAATATATAAAGGGCTGCCTCATACATGTTAAATGTACAGAAGCTGCTCAAAAGTGTATATTTAGTTGTCCATATCCATTTTTGTTACTGAGCTTTGTTGAAATTATGACTTAATACATAATACTTCCATTCAAATGTCCTGATCAAAAAAGTCATGTCATGCCTTAATTTATTTTCATAATGTCTGCTGTAATCCTCTTTATTGGCTTTAACTCTAAGGCCCATATAAATGCAAAGTAGAGGAGCTAGGCTTCTAAACAGACCTCTCATCTGAGCAGCCTTGTTTGGGTT